TTAATTTGATTAAAAAACTGACGATCCAGCCTGGCTACGGGAAAAAAAAAAAAAAAATAAACACACAGTATTGACCTGACTACAGGTATTAAAAAAAAAAAAATCAATATAATATTTGATACTGTATATAGACTATAAGTATTTCATCTTTGACATGAATTTTATTTTTTATAATACACTTAAGTAATATGTCAAATATAAAACACATGTTATTTTTGAGATGATTATAATCTAACATAAGTAAAATAATTAAATTTTATATAGATTTCAATTATATTACTTAATTTAATCTTTTTATTTAATTTATTTTTTCTTAAAAATCAAAGGTATATTTAAAAAATGTCAATAATTTTATAAAGAGACTTACTTAATGATTTTTTTTAATATTTATAATTTATGATTCTTAATTTTATTATTATTTTATAATAAGAAATTTGGATTTAATTTAATTTTTTTTAAAAAAATTTATTAAAAAAAAATTTTTTTTATTATGGAATAAGATAATTAATAAAGTTTTTTTTCATTAAGAATATATAGTATAATTATATAAAAATTTATATTCATATATAAACAATTTGTTATTATTAATGTTATTTAATTAAACTTTTTAATTGAAAATGATTTTAAATAAAATCAAAAGTTTTTAAAATAAAATCAAACAAACTTGCAGTAGGTAACAAATATACTGTAATATATTAAAATATCATGAACATGAAATAAAATACTCGTTTGAAAGAGGCTATAAAAAGATTTTTTATTCTCAAAATTTATTAGAACTACAATTGCTTTTGAAATAATATGCACAAGATTAATATAATAATTTTATAATTAAATTTATAGTATACCTTATAAAAAAAAATCATCAGGCGTTACTGCATGATCAATATTCTTATCGGCCAGTAACATTTATACAACAATTTAAGTGGGGAAATTACACAGAGTATCGTCCTTCCGACAACAAAGCTAATACCCCGGACGCCACTTTTTAATAATTATTTAGACTATTACATGCATGTAAATTATTTATGGATTGTTTTTTTTAATAAAATTTATGCCTCGGTGAATTCCGAACCAAATCAGACATTGTTTACCCAACAGCATATAGATTTTTACTTTTTATAAAAAAAAAAAAAGTTTTTTTATTCTTGCATATGTTTTGAGAAGAAAAGGGAACTTGAAGAAAAAAAAGAGAACACTGATATGGTTTATAAGAAAGAAAAAAAATCAAAATTTCTGAAAAACTATTTGGAAAGAACTGGATAAAGAATAACGAAATAAAGGATGTTTAGGGTTAACACTTTAGAATGTAATCTGAAAAAAGAAATAAAACAACGGGGGTTTTTTTTTTTGAATAAAAAACTAAGGGGGCATAATGTATTTGTATTTTTTAGACCAAGAATGGGTCTGAGACTGTTGAAACGCAACCAGTACAAAAAAGAATTAAATCGTTTAGGTGGTGGTGATCGCAAAGAATTCTTTTCTGTAAACGATGAGAATTGCAGGAGATCGACGAAAAGAAAAAAAAAAAGAAAAACGATTGCCGAAAGCAGAATGAGAAATGGTAACGAAATTATAGAGGAAGACACGAAAATAAAGAATAAGGGAATAAAAGAAAAAATAAGAATCTTGACGACTCCCGATATTACATTTCTCTCCACTTGCCCAAATGTCTCTTGTGAAATTCTCGGGAAGTTTTCTACCAAGAAAAAGTTAATCTGTTAGTCTTTCAAATAACGACGATATAGTTAACCACGGTAGAATTATCACCAGGGCTTAAATGGAGACTGACTTACGTTTTATCCAGCCCTTTTCCCATCATGGTCACACGCGATAAACCTTATTATCACCCCCTGTTGATTTCGTACGTGCAATCCTCATGATTGGAACACAACTTCTTTGATGAAAATCAGAGATAAAGAGAATGTTCCCTCACAGGATGGCGCGAAGATTTCGCTGGTGGGTGGTGTGGTAATAACTATACCTATCGTTCGAATAACATTTTAGATTGCGCAATCAACCCATATAAATCCCTCAATGACCTCTTACTACTTACCACGTGATCATAAAACTAAACCTTTCCTTCTTATACAGTATATGCTTGCGAGGTGACAGTGATGGTAATGATGCGTTCATCAGTGTCAAATGTCATTTGTGTCTTCTTTTGGTTTGGCAATTGACATTGTTTCGTGAATCGAAAAAATTATATTGAATAATATGGCCCAAAGAAAAGGCCAAGATCAACCACTGCCTTAATGGAAAGAAAGAGATTGGATCAAAGCAAGACATAACGAGATATCAAACAAAAAACGATTTCAAAACGTGTCGTCATTATACATGGGATGCGATTTCTCCCAATGTAACGAAGAAACAGGTGGGAATAAAAGTATTTTATTAGAAACGTCGAGAAAATTTAAAAAATTTTAGAAAAATTTTTTTTGAAAAGTACGAATTTAAAGGTTCGGAATTAAGGTGAAGAAAAGGGAGTAGAGGTTTAGAGTAGGGTGGGCAAAAAGGGCGGTTATGATTGTGGCAGGTGATTCAAAGTGAAAGGAATGTAAATCTCTTTTTAGAAGGCAGTAAAGAGCCTTGCAGGATAAAAGAGGGGAAACTCCATTAAAGGTGGGCAAAAAGTTTTTTTTTTTTTTTTTTTTTTTTTCTGATGATAAAAAATTGGTGTATTTCGTGTTTTTCGTTGCTAATTTTATATTCCGGTGATTTTTGTCTATGCTGAATTTGACATTATTATAAATTAAGAGTGAGATACTTAATCTATGTATTTTCGGTTATGGGAGAACTGTGCGAATGTGCCGTTTTGTAATATTGAGTACGTGCAACAAACAAATAATGGGACAATAGAAAATATGGGATGCTTATGAAACGCTTTAAAACTTATCCAAAAATCGTTCAACCAAGTGTTGATCAGAGTGTGATAATGCAGATCCGCAATAAAACTCTCGAGTTGAAAAGGACTGGACATTGGATCAAAGTCATAACAATGAATTCAAATAAGGTCATTCCCAAACCGAAATCACAGTCCAAAGGACGGAAAATATTATGCGGAGCAAATTATATAGAATCGCCGGTTGTGTCCGATGGGTTTTTGCGTGTTTCCTTTATTTTCCCGAAGTTAATCCGAGAGAACAAGATTCAAGGAAAAACGCGGATCTAAGAAAAAGAAGAAGCATGCATACATTATATACTTGTATTTAAAAGTAAAGTTCGCCACTCCTTTTTTTTTTTAAAAGATTAAATAATGGTGAAAGTTTCTTTTTTTACTGTGAGAATTGCACTATCTCTATTTCAGTTTTTGTGTGGTGACGTTTAATAATTATACGCACGTACGATATGTAATGCCATCTGCAGCATTTCCGCCTATGGAAGGCCTAACATGCATTTTCACATGTACATAGGAACATTGACAAATTCAACTGCACGCGAATTTTTAGACATCAACGTTTTTCATTGGACCGTGGGTAAACCATATGTTCTATCACGTGACGCTTATGATCGATCTGCGAGATCTTTACTCACCGTGAAAAAGTACTCACTCACTTTGTGGGGTAAAAAAGTTGAATCCACTAAAAATGCGTCCCCATCAAAATTAGAATTAGGTTTGGCAGATCAATTGACGTTTTTCTATATTTGCGCATTGAAAATTTATCACTTAGCATTGACAGGTTTAATTTGGTTAAATTGTTATTCTCGCGTGTAGCATTATGTCACGTTTAACTTCCAATCACTTAACAACTGCCACATAATAGATGTTTTTTTTTTTACTTTTCTGAAATGGGATTAAGAAATAAAACATGCGAATGATGATGAATTATGTTATTTGGCTTAGTATTAGTAATCGTTGACCAAAGCGAGGTTAACTTAATTTATTACTATTTGTGAGTACCTTTTGGGATGTAAGAAATTGTGAATATCATAAGTTTTACCAAAAAAATGCTTTCATTTTCCCAAGATCGCGAGAGTCCAAACCAATTCCGGTGAACTTGATCCTTTTTTATCAGATGATCACAATTCCATTACATATCTATTGTAACTAAGGTTCATATTATTTTCGTGCACACATTCAATCAAGTAATTACCCGAAATATGTTATATAAAAGCCCCGATTTTTTTTTTTTTTGACATAATGCGATAGTAAAACCAGTGTTGGGTATGGTGAGAACTTAATTTGGACAATGTTAAATTTCGATTCCATTGTAATCACTGATTGTAATTTGGCATTTAACCTTTTACGAACCAATCGATTTGACATCATCCAAAAATAAAACTCTCGCGTTTGTTAACACATGCACGTATCTTTTGACAATTAATTATTACTGTTTGAACCATGATATTATTATTTAATTTTTTATTTTTTATTTTTCTTAATTATAGTATATCAATATATAATAATTTCTTTAATTTTCTTAATCCTATATACTGTACCATATTTAATATTTTAATTCTATCAATACAAATTTAAATTGAAATAAGCCATATATTAAAAATTTTTATTTTCAAGTTTTATGATTATTCTATTTTTTTTTTTTTTTTTTTGAGTACCCGTAGCCAGGTTAGATCGTCAGTTTATTAATCAAATGAAGACAAAAGTACATTTTCAT